TAAAGAAGAATAAACCAGAATAGGAGTTGAGACAGCCGATTTAGTCCCTACATGCGCGTGAGAAAGAGCCGAAAATTCGGTTAATGTGAAGGCATTAAAGCCAGCCTCTCATCTGTCTTCGAAGTCAGTCTCTGCACGAGTCAATCACTTATGAACGAGTCTTTGTGTGCAAACGCCTACCAATTGGGCATCTGATTGCCCGTATCCTGGCTGTTGCCGGCTGACAGTCTGTTTAATTATAATTGAAATGGGGTGTTGCAAAGCGAGCCAAATTATGCAAAGCATGACTAAAAAACAGGCTTGAGCCAGCTTCCATTATGCAGCGGCTGACCGCAAAATGTGATTCAGGCGACCAAAATGAGTAGAAAACAATGTCTTTAAAGAGACACGTGCGAAGAGGAGGGCAGATACGAGAGCCAAGTGTGGAGTAAGAAAGCTGAACGATCTGTGCCCACTTCCTCAGGCTCCCTTCCTCCCAAAATGTCAGCCATGCAAAGGGGTTGCATCTGCCCGCGGGGGTCTTGTATCTGCTTAAAATGTACGCGACTGAAGAGAAAATGGTTGGTTAAACAAAGAGCTGGCCCCAAGGAAAAGTATAAGAAGGGCGTTGAGTGACAGTTGCAGCATGGCTTGAACACAAGAAATGCTGGTGGACAAGCTACAAACACGCTTTTCAGGTCGCTGTGCCAGCCGTCTTGCCAACCTGTACAGCCTCGACGGCATGCGTACACGTTGGCCGGATGTACAGATTGACGCACGCACGGATGAAATATACTCGTCGCCAAGGCGTTAGGAAATGAGCAGAGGTTGGCGGGCCGGTTGGGCGGAAAGGGCAAATGGAAGGCATTCCAGAAGAGCGCCGAAGTGAAAGAAGATGGTCAAGGCATGGCGGAAATTCGCAGACAGTGTGAATGGAAGAATGGGCACAAACTGACAGGAGGGATCGTTTGGAGGTGTGCAAGTAGGAAAAAGTAGTCGGTTTGTCTGTCTTTATGCGAATATGTCCAGTTGGGTAGATTTGTGGAGGCTGTGTGTATGCGACTCAAGACTGTGAACGGGGGTGGGGTGGGAGGCAGAGTGTTTGTTGCGGCTGAGGCTGGAGGCAGCAGAGACAAAAAGAGTATATGTTGAAAGGGTACAAGTGAAGAAACGGATCTAAACAGCAAATGGGGTACAGAGGGTTAAGAGGTGGGTCTGCAGGCAGCCTCAAACAATTCTCCTATTCTGAGCTAAAGTGCAGAGTGATTTGTAGACAGAACAAATTCAGTTAATTTACTTCGCTGCGTGCATTGTGAATATGCCAAAGTGGGGCAAATGGTGAAATAGTTGAGAAGCATTCATCACATCTCCAAGCTTCACTCTACCACATTTCCTACCAGTCACGGCTGGATATGGGATACAATTTATTGAGACATTTTGTCGGCATGAAAATTCAATTGGTCATTGGTAGGCCTGTGGAGTGAGGCAACTACAAAAAGAGTGTTACTTAAATGTATAAATGAGTAGAATATGCTAACTTATCAGAAGAAACGAAAGGAATGACTAATTTAGACATCGGTTGTTTTGTTGTACTTTGATGAATCTAGATTTAGGCTAACTTATGATGTAAAATGTATTCACACAATTTCGTGTAAGGTGATGAAGGACTGGTAGAAGAAGAATTTTCACACAATGATATGCATTGAGCTTACGTCTTGTTTTCCCAAAAGTTGTTCTCATCCAGGCACGTATATCTGCTATAACAATCGACTACAATACTTTATTTTTCGAATTAAGTACTGTTTTCGTGACTACCAGTAAATTAGTAATATAAGATGTATTCACCTTAGGCGAAATTAAGTGAATACATCCCATATTACTGATTTACTGGTAGTCACAAAAACAATACTTAATTCTAAATATAAAGTATAGTAGTCGATTGTTATAGCAGATATATGTGCCTGGATGAGAACAACTTTTGGAGAAGCAAAGCTATGTAAAATGCAATGGAAACGTCAGCTCAACTCATAGCATTGTGGGAAAATTCTTCTTCTGCCAGTTCTTCATGACCTTAAACGAAATTGGGTGAATACATCTCACACTACTGATTTACTGGTAGTCACAAAAACAATACTAAATTCGAAAAATAACTTATGATAGATAAGGGTTAAGTGTGGTAATTATATGTGAATTTAAAATGGATTAAAACAAACAAATATATGAATTCCTTTTCTGTGAGTGGTTGTAGGTAATACAAAAAGATTTTTCCTACACAAGTGATCCCAGTTTCATAAGTTGTCGATTTAGGCAAAATCTCAATAAATATTTTCTTATTTAGTAAGTCTCGAGACCTTGCTAATCGTGGATACAACCATCTTCATTAATTGTTTATACTTACAAATATCCACCCATTAATGTGACAAGTATTGATTCTAATTAAAGATGAAGTAATTAATATACAATTGACGACCATATTTATTAAAATTCAGGTACAAAATTAGACATTGCCTACTTAACCAGAGACTTAAATGTAACTCGGAACTCGCATGCAAACCATGTTATGTTGGCTAAAGAGGTCAAATTTCCCACATAATTAATTTAAAAATGTCATGCTTTTCAATGTACACTATACAACATTCTAACTAATTCTTATTGTATCTATTCATTTTCTAAAGACATTTTAAGCCAACGTTGTATCGTCTGCCTTAATTTCTTGTTGCTCATACTGTCGACATCAGTTCTCTGGTCAATATGGATGTGTGTAAGTAAGAATAGAAAAATCAAAAGTACTTTAGACCAAAACTTGTTAATTTTCCTGCTTAAATCCTCCGAGAAGTAACAGTTGACCTCTGGAGAAATAGCATAAAAGAAATGCATGAATGTAGATTTAATCGCTTAAGACACGACACCATTTGACAAAGTGTGAGCTCCTACGTATTTCCCTTAACCATATTAAAGTTTAATCACAATAATGTCCAAATTTGACAAGCGGTATGAAAAAAGGCGGAAACCCTAATAAAGACACTAAAATTCCGTATCTGGTCCACTTATAAAAACCGATTTATTTCCGTCGCTCTCTGCGAACACGGAAATTGGATTTAAAGGAAAATATTGACCTCTATATAGTCTTCTAAGTGTTTTCTCAGCCCCTTGTAAAAAGCAATTTTGTACTCACTTTAAGGCTAATTTGCTTAACCTATTCAATTAACTATATTTATTATGAAAATCTTTTATTTGGTTTACACTATTTTCAAATAATTCTAATATAATTATTAAAAAATATACATTTTATTAAAATATAAGCATAGAAAATCGAATCATCATTCTATTAGTAGGACGCAAAATGCATCGTGTATTAAAATCTCCGTTTTACTTTAATACTTTTATAAATAAGATTTTATTAAGCAGTTAATAACTTGAGGCTATTATGTACTTGCTCAGAAACTACGAAGCGTGCTTCCATTTACTTATTATTACAAACCATATAATGAGAACTAAGCTTTTCAAAGTATGCATTTTAAATAAGAAGAAATTTATAAAAGTTATCCTACTTTTGTGGTGTTAATTAGACTAAAAAGTATTAAAAAAATATGTATCAGTCATGCTTTTTTTTTCAAGTCACTATTCTCAAATCGCGTTTATCCTGCGCCTATAGCCTTTAGATAAAGAGCTTGAGCTTTACGCCTAATAATAATGATATGAGGTAAATAACTTACTATACTACTATACTACTACTTACTATACTACAGGTTTAGTAATTCAAGAAAAGTACTTTTAGCAATTTACATTATTCTCAAATTTCTCACACCTCATAATCAATTCAATCATGCCTGTAAACGTATACTTTCTTCTATTAAAATGTAACATATCCACACAAACTAACATTTGGAAGTAATTAATAGACTCATAAGAGGAAGCCAAAATATTTATCGCCGCCTCCGAGTTCCATGCTCTGATATTTGGATCGCCGCTGCAGAGTTATGATTAATTTTGCGGTAGAGCAAACACAGTTTCACACAAAGACATAGAAATGCTTAGGTGATATGAATATAGCAAAGAAGCATAAAAGTACGTGTTATATGAACTTCTGAAATTTTTTTAAAATTAAGCAAAATTGTTTGCAAAGCTGTTTTATTAACTATTATTACTAATAACATAGTGCATCAATATTGATGACAACGAGTGCTGATACCAAAATGATAGATGAATTTTAACCGACTAATAAATTTTCTTTCAAATAAGGAAATTATTACTTGTTTATGAGATCATATCAGAACAAAACCCTTTTATTCTATCGCAACCGATTCTGTAGCATGTGAGGGAAATCTTTAGGGAAACTTTTTAATGTAGCCGGTGCCAGAACAGACATCAAGACGTGTTCATTGAATAAGAAAAAAATATAACTAAATTGTTCTGGTTCAGGTTGGCATTACAAAGGAAATGATTAAATTTCATATAAAAACAGTATTCTGCATAGTTACCAGAAATTATAAACAAGAGTCACTTACCTAAAGTTGCTGAACCATTTTACCAGTTGAGCTGTATTATTCTTGTTGAACTTCACGTCAGGAAAATATACCTTAAGTAGGGCTGAGTTAGGATATCTCGTATAAAAGAACATCAGCTTGGCTTTGCGAAGATGCACAGGTGTTAGTGTGTTAGTCTAAAAATAAAGTGATGAAATGGATTAACAAAGGCTTGGCACTATTTCTTGTGCTTGCTATTATTTCGGACTAATAAAAAAGCACTCAAGACAAAATACTTAATTGAGGATAAGCGACTAGAATGAGCATATACTCACCATCCATTTGGGAATCTGGAATAAAGGTTATCTTCTTACGTGTATAAGTTGTACGAAATTCAGGTAAAACCGAAATGACTTGAAACGACTAATGATAAATTCTTAATTATGTAAAATATGGGGCTAAGTTACTAAGCTATCCTTGATTAGCATTTGAAAGTATTTTAATCTAGCTTATTAATTGACTCTTCAGTCTAGACCAAGAAATATTCTGTTAAAAAATAAATAGATATATGTTAGACTAAATTCAGGATAAACCGAAATTAATTGATATAACTAATGATAAATTCTTAATTATGTAAAATATGAAGGCTAAAGTTACTAAAACAGCCTTGATTAGCATTTGAAAGTATTGTAATGTTGTTTTTTAATTGATTTTTCATTCTGGAACAAATAAAATAAGCTATACAAAACACAATACATATATGTTGAACGAGGTTCTGGGAAAATCGAAATTACTTGATAAAACTAATGAATAATTCTTAATTATGTAAATAACGGGGGCTAAAGTTATTAAACCAGCCTTGATTAGCATTTGAAAGTATTGTAATGTAGTTTGTTAATTGATTCTTTATTCTAGACCAAGAAATATTCTTTTAAAAACTAAATACGTATATGTTGAACAAAACTCTGGGAAAACCGAAAAGTTACTTTACCAGCTTTGATTAGCATTTGAAATTATTGTAATATAGTTTGTTAATTGATTCTATATTCTAGATCAAGAAATATTCTATTAAAAAATAAATACATATATGTAAGCCTAAACATAAATTTAGCATTACGTTTTAAAGCTATGTTAGATGAAACAGTATATTTTTAATTGATAGATAACATCTTTCGCATACTTTATTCCATATATTAATGTGAGCAAGATATCATTCAGATAGAGCATTTCAGACAAAACTGTTGACATGCCTTCTCATACTTATTGGAGATGGCAACATAATCATATACAAAGATTGGCTCTAATACCAAACAGTTAGGTACATTCGAAGTTATGTAGTAAATGTAGAACCAGTGACCGGATAAGATTAATAAATTGCTTCTCAAGATAGTTATAATCGTTTTGAGATAAGAAAAAGCTAGGATTTGATCAAGTTTACTTTATTCATATTGAATCAAAATTAGCCAATAAATGTTAAATAATGTGGATTCAG